GTTGTACTTAAAGCGCGGAAATCATTATGTGATCCGTGTAAACTCATCGAACCTTTAAACAAACTTATTAGTAAGGGTTATCGTACCAATGTTGTAATTAGATCTCTGAATATAGTTTACATTGGCACTAATATCGATTTTGTCATTACCAAAATAAAACATAACTAAATTTGTATTTTCTTTTCAAACGGGATGTATAGAGACACACACACGTTCATTTTTATCTATAAAGAAGTCACTCCTAACTATCCTACTACCTGTCGTTACATTTTTTTTGGCATTGCACAAGTCATGTCTTCTTTGACTGTTCATGACGTTAAAATACTAAATCCCTGGGATGTATTTTAGTTGATTTTAGTCTCTGATGCATGATTTTTTTATTATGAATTGTTTTGGCTTTTAACTAGCTGTCAGTAACTGCGAGTACTCTCAAATCGTACTTTCTTTTTAATTTGACCTGTTGATACTATTTGTAATGCTTTTTTTGTTATTTAATGTAAACATGGATCTTGTCTATATACCAGCTTTGATTATTTGGTATTACTACAAATTTTCACTTCTTCGTACTATGAACATCAAAATTATTTCATTTTTCCTTAAATTCTTGCACCTATACAGGAAGTTTTATCTAGCACTTATTGTATAGTTTTATTGTTAACATTCACCCCATATGTACCAAGTGTTAAATTAGTTTTATTGATATTAAAGAAATTTCTTGGTATTCCTAAACGGAAGATTTTATACACACAGAAGAAGAAGTATACTTAACAACAAAATTATTTTCATTTACCTGTGTATAACATGACGCAGGTTTTTTCAAAAGTGATGATTTTCTAAATATTGTTTAACATTTCACAGTGGTATAATACTTTAACTTTGTTTAAACCTGTTTATTTACTTTTGACTTTAATTCTTTATCCCTTGTAATTTTTTATTAACTGTGTATTTGCATTCAGGTGTCACAGGTCAAATTTATTCGTTCATTGTGTGTTAATTTACGTTTTTTGATTGAGTTAAGCCTTCCAATTGATATTTTATAGTGTGTTTTTCTATGTTGTGATGTTATACTATTGTTTCAGAAAAGGGAGAAGGTTTGGTACCATTAAAACGTTTAATCCCGCTGCAAATGTTTGCACCTGTCTTAAGTCAGGAATCTGATTACAGTAGTTGTCGTCTGTTTATGTAGTTCATACGTGTTTCTAGTTTCTCGTTTTTATATAGATTAGACCGTTGGTTTTTCCGTTTGAATGGTTTTACACTAGTAATTTTTCGGGGCCCTTTATAGCTTGCTGTTCGGTGTGAGCCAATGCTCCGTGTTGAAGGCCGTATCTTGACCTATAATGGTTTACTTTTATAAATTGTAACTTGGATGGAGAGTTGTCTCATTGGCACTCATACCACATCTTCCTATATCTACCAAATAAAGTACGAAGTTGAAGAGCATTGAGGACCCAAAATTCCAAAAGTTTTTTCCAAATAAAGCTAAGGTAATCTATTCCTGGGGTAGAAAATCCTTAGTATTTAAAAATTTCAAAGTTTTATAGTAGATTTATAATTATGACCATATCAACGATCATAGTTCATGTCAACACACAAATGCTGACTACTGGGCTGGTGATGCCCTCGGGGAGGAAACCTCCACCAGTAATGGCATCGACCTAGAAGTTTTCAACCTTTCAATTATAGGATAAGAATAGATCAATTGTGAAATCAATGGTGTAAATAGTTACATGTACAAAATGAATATACCTGAGTTACAAATGAGTAATTACCTACATACACGCAAGAATATTAGATATGACACTTGTGTTTATATATTCATTACAATATAAAAATTAGGATATGTGATATGATTGCCAATAAGACAACTATCCACCTTAGACCAAACAAAATAGGATGTTAACAACTATAGGGCACTGTACGGCCTTTTAGCAATAAGCAAAACCAATTTCATAAAAAGTTCAAATCAGCGATCATCCGACGGATCGATTATTAAGACGTCCTTAACAATATGAGAAAGGCATGGCTTTGTACGATGCAGAAATATTAAATTCGTCCAGGTGTAAATCAAAAAGTGTTTATAACGGTATCGCCTGACTTATAATTTACGAATTATATACAGATTACGTTCATTGAAATCTAAAACGACATTGCTGAATCGAGAATAACGAACGATAATTTTACTCTCATAAATATTTCACTTATAATGTGGAGAGCAATCATATGGCTGAATCTGTTGCTCAAATCTTTTCATATCCGTGTGAATAAAATATGTTCAAAATCAAAATAGTCTCTTTTACAATGACAGCCCACACTTTCTTCATCATTATGTATTAATTATGGACTGTAATTGCTCTGACGTATAAAAGACGTAAATGGATGGGTTTACACATCAACACGCATTTTATTTATGTACATCCTTGGAATCTCTGTCTACACAAACATAATTCATAACGTGTATCCTGAGAGCAATGAGAAGACTCTTGGTATTATTATAATGAAATAGGTTATTTTGCAGACGTGTATTTCTTTATAAACGTAGTAGACTCGCAGTTCAACACATTGCAAGAGACGGTATGTTACGTTAATTTATTGGTGAAAAGGCTGAGCTACATTTAACACATCAATTTACTCCGGTTAATAACCTTTATTATATATAATTCAAATAAAAATGCTCTAAAAATTATTTTCAGATAAATAATTTCATCAACACCTACAGAACTGTATTGTCTGTAACTTACATAAAAATTAGAGTTATTGATTTATTTTATATATTATGTGAATTAACACATTATTATTATTATCCATGGAAAATAGATGAAAGGAACTCTTGTTGATATACTTTTTGTCTTCCGTATTGATGAATCAAAAATGTATCTTCTGTATAATAACAACCCCTTATTACGAACTTTAATGAAGCAATCTGTTGTGTAAAGTAGGTGATGAAACTATATACGTGTGTTTGCCAGTTTAAGCCATCAATGATCCTTTAACAGTGCACATTATTACAACGATATTGTGATGTCTACAAAGAATTAACGATATCGTGTTAAATTTACTGTATGAACTGTCTTGTTTTGTTTACATCGTCGATAATATGATCGTTTATTTTTTGTAGATAAATGCTGTCGTCGTAATGTAAACCCCTACACAGAAACGAGTTTAATAACGTTATCACGGGACCGTGCAAATTTTTAAGTGTTTGCTTCGTACAGCTGTGTAAATGTTACCATAACGACGACAACATTTTTCTATATGGTTGATAAAAGGGGATTTTATCAACACTTGTTCTCAAAACCGTGAACATTGGCCTGTATTTGCGATGTTGACGATATATACGTAAGGTGTAGACTTGGTATACAATTTAAAGACGAAATTGACACGATATTGTCAACAGTGCCCAGTCAACAATACTAACACAAGGGTGTGAACTAGGTATACTATATGAACACGATATCGATAGCGTTTCCGACGTGAACCACGTAAAGACTCGGTATACAATATAAACATGATGTTGGCATGATATTGTCAATAATGTTTTGGTTAAAAGTATTGTGCAATAAACGGAGATCGTTGTGTATACGATACTGTTGAAATCATGAGGTTGACAACATCGTTAAAACATTTTCCATTGGACAAAGGTAAAAGTAAGATTCGTTTTCTGATGGTTTAATTGTAAATTGATATCGTCATTGTTTAAACCTGGCACAGTAATATATTCATGGTTAGCTAGTGTCTAATCAAATTTAGTTGTTATTGATTTTGACTTTGATTTATTTTGTAGATCTGATTTTACTGATATTTGTCAAACTTTGTCATTTTTTGCGAGGGTTAGTTGTTTCTGTTCATATATAATCAAGTATGCAATTGCTTTCTTAACTTCTTCATCAATTTTGTGCGTTGAAATAATTTCATTTTAACTAGACCATGTCCAAAAATTGTTAAAATTATGACTTTCAATTTTGACCCTATACCTCATAGTCTGCGAATTGTGTAACTGTTTAACTCAAATTTGACTAACATAACTGTAGTGCTTTTGAATATACACATGATTGAAGATTAACACAATGGAGATTTTGTTTTAATTTAGTTTCCGTCAGAATTTCTGTTGCTAAACATTTTATTATAGTATATAATAATCTAGTTTTAACTAATATGGGAAGGCATATTTGTTAAAGAATCTTTTATATTAATACCATGTGTACTGTAGTGTAAATATTCTGGTTTGAATGAATTGTCAGCATGTAAGAACCTTGGGTTTGCTTTTAGCTACAAGCATATATTCAACAGTACTTTGAACATAAAGATATCGAAGTCTTTTGTGTATTGTGTTTGTTGTGCTCATTGAATGTTGTGAATGTTATCAATTAACTCACCTCTTACTTTCATAGATGGGAGCGTTGATTTCTGAAAATAATAATGTCAGATGTGAGCGTTGATTTCTGAGAATAGTTATGTCAGATGGGAGCGTTGAGAATAATAATGTAACTCAACTCGTGCTCGTGTACAGTGTTAGAAGCTAAAAGCAGCAGTTGCTTGCAAATTTATATACTAGTGTTAACATTGAACGTAGTCTTAACTCATTGCAACATACTCATCACTTGATACCAAACAATGACCTTAACATGTATATTTCTGATGCATATCGTTTTATTTTTTAAGTACTACATATATACTTGTGGTTCAAAACCTAAATAGGATTTTCTGTTGTCCACAAATTTATTTTATATCATCTATCAGTTCATACGTATCTAATATACTAATGAATCTGACCCTACTGTGTTTTACATAAATTTTGTAGCTTATTTTATTTGCCACAAAATTGAATAATGACAGCAGGTCAGACAGTCAGTTCAATCAAATTAATTGAAAATAATTTCACCATCAACCTATACCGTTCATGATAATAACTACAATCGTAATATTATATTGATTATTTGAACAAGCCAATCACAATAGAATTAAAGCCAAGTAAATGTGGGATATACAATGCGTACAACCATTATTTTACAGGATTTCTCTATATTCATAAAGATTTAAACAAACACGTTTTCTCAATGTTAGCTTCAACATCTTAAAATACGGATGAGTATAATATTAGAATTACATACGAGGATATTTTACACTCAGAGGTAAGGTAAAATCTAATATTACTTTGCAATTGGTTTTTTTTTTTATTAATTTTTTGTGAGTGTTAAAGTTGGAACCAGTTTTAATTTTTCACATAATACATTTAACTTAAGTGTATTAGCACAAACGGTATAACTTGTCGAAGACATCGTATACTAGATCCTCAACAGAGAAACATTGGGTTCATGAAAAATACTCTCTTAAAGAGACTGTAATAATGTTTTCGGGTTTACTGAGATTTAATGAACTTTAAGACAACACTTTATAAGTTTCATGCTTCCAAAGCGCTTTTCTGGATTCATCTTCATCAAGAACGCTCAAAGCCGAATATTTGAGTATATTACCATTTTAGAGACTATGGTTACATTGCAAATTAACTAATTTTATTTCTATTCGCAGTCTATAATGATTGTTTTAATTATATAGCACAGTAATATTCTAGTATATTTAAATAACTGAAAACTTTCCTTTATAATCATTATACATGTAGAAAAGAGGACGCAACAAATAGAACAAGGTAAAATGTGGTATAAAGAAAGAAATTGAACCAGTGCTTGTTTTCCTCAACGACCGCCATCCTTGACACATTTACGTTGATTTTTTAGGACCACTGAATTACATTTGTTAAACTTTTAAAATCAAACATTTGTAAGGAAAAATTAGTTAATAACAAACATTTGAAGGTCTATGTTGTAAGGTTATTTGTATTGCGTTTTGCTTGATTTTGATTTTACCTCATACGACGAAAATAGGCCGTTTGAATTATTACCACCTTTTAATTCGTTCGTTTTTTGACAATCTTCTGTGGAACTACGTAGACCAACAAAATTAACCGAAACACATTTCAAAAGTATGTAAATGTTATTGATAATCAAGGTTCCCTAAAAAATCTACAATTTTTCTTACTAATGACTTTCAATGAAAATCTAGTGTTATTACAAACTTTTTTTTATGTTTCACAGTGTGGTATCTGCTGCAACATAGTTAAATCATTTCAATAAAAGTTGTACATAATTGTAATTTATCAAACGTTGCGCAAATATATTGTTTCCACAGCTGTTGCGAAGAGCAATTAAATAATATGTTTTATATTTTTCCGTTGTGTTTTAAAAAAATCGATCGAAGCATTGATCGAAAGCAATGATCGAGGTGCAAAGCATTGAAACGGTCAAATTAAAGTAATTAACTATCTCTTCTTATAAGCAGAATTATAAAGGACAACAGTTTTACATGAAATGTATTCGAATCAAATAAAGATGACACGTCAAACTGTACATATAGCAACTGCTTAAAATATATATTTTTGTTGTATGGTAAAAATAAAATGTAAAATTGGCACAACGACTTTTCACCTTTGTTGTCAACCTACAGGACATTTTTATTCGTTTTGGAACTGAGTCTTGTAGCGCTAGCTATGTAATGCATGCTTGTTTTAATAATATGATTGATTGAACTGTTTGAAATAATGACGGGCGGGAAATTTGGACTGCCACTTAACACTGAGGGTATGATGGATAGAAACAAAACTTTGCAGTATTGCAATAGTCAATCTACAGATCCCTAGGGATGCAATGCTTCTCCAATGTGCAAAAAGCGGCAAACTCTCCCAAAACGGGTCATTGGCTTTTGGTTTCTATTTAAAGTAGACTTGTTATTGTGTGTTTACTCTGCACAGTCACACGAACGCCCCTCTCTTCCGGGTGTGGAAAGTCCAAATGATCACATTTCTATGATAGCCCGTGTTAATGTTAAGATGAATCAACCCCTCCATTGTAATGACGTGATTCTTGTATAAATGTAATATTTATTACGGATTATACAATTACTGTCTTTTGATGAGGTAAATATGCGGTTTTATTGACTTTGAAAAACTGATATTCACTGAGGCCGACGGCCGAAGTGAATATCAGTTTTTCAAAAGTCAATTAAACCACATATTTACCGAAACAAAAGACAGTAATTGTTTTATTCCATATTCCGAGAGAAAACAATGTATTTAATGACAAATATTTACCCAAACCAATTGTACATCAAACAGTTTACCATAACGTTACATGTAAAAGCGCGTGACGTTTAGCGCGGTGAATAACACTTTTCTCCAGGTGAATATGCTTTTTTATTTAAAATCCAATTCATGTAGAGAAACCTACTAAAATAATACTAATAAGGAATAATAAATTACATTCATATTTTAATTCATATTTGTTGGGTTTATTAGTTTGTCAAATAGTTCTGGTTCGGGTAAACACTTTCTATCATTTTTTTATTTCTCTCAAATTCACTTGGCAATAATATAAAAAAGAGGATTTTACATTGCGTAGATATTGAATTAATATAAAGTCATGGATTAGAGAAAAAAATAGCTGTTAGACAGTCAATATTTTTGTTCGAAAACAATATCAACCTTTCATTTTTACTCTTCACTTAATACGTTCCATACAAAAAGACTTGTCTTTACGTTCGAACATTGAAAGTTGAAATCAATAATTAATGTTTTAATTAAAAGTGATAAAAGTCGATATCAGTTGTCAATAAATGCAAATTTACCGAGAACAGAATGGTCAATTTTGTTAACTAAGAATCTGACGTAACTATATTTATTATATACTTAGTAGTAAATACAGATAAATTGTATGTGTAATACAATCATTGGCAAGCGTGCTGTATCAGCCACCCGTGATGATATCGATATCAGCACGGTTGCAAAGGCTTTATCACACCTTTAATCTATATGACGTCACGTCATCGATTGCAGTCACTGTTGCAAAAACTTAAATTTAAAAGCGTTATACGAGAAAAAAAACATTTAAACCGTGTGTTGAGCCCAGTAAGTTACTGTTGTATGGTACCCATATTTACTACCTTGATTACCGATAACTACTGATGTCTTCATTGACCAAAACAATAATAAACTTATAATAAAAAATAGAATTTAGACGAAGAAAATAAACTGTGTTAAAAATAGAAAATCCAAAAGACTCTTTTGTTTTAGAAACAAACTGTTCAAATTTAATGTTGGGTGTTATTATGTGATGGTGAAAGATAAGAATAAAAGACACGGTGGCGACCGTTTTGTAAATGTTTCACAGTTTATTATGAGATTTTAATGTTTGTTTGATTGTAATGTTTAATAAGTCAATTACCAACGATGGTTATAAATTTAACTGTAAAAAGGTTTATTTCAGTTTTATTCTCTATAAAAAGGACTTTTTCATGTTGGTTTTGTTGACAATTACGATTGGATTTACAATGAAATTAAACAGCAAAGTGTAGTGACCTGATTGAATGTATCATTTGTATTTAAAACAACGAGAGTTAATTAACTTTATATGTTTCATTACCAATAACTGAAGCTAGCTACAATGTACTGCAAGCTGAATGTATCTTACAAATGTATTTAATGAATATTTGCTTCGTTTGTTTGAAATTAGATTACAAAGTAGAGAAAGTTATTCTTCCATCTTTTTCTACGTTGTTAGTAATATAAATAAGAAGTTGGCAAAAATTCTAAAGACCTTCTTCAAACAATGATATGCTGAACTTAAATTTTATTCAGTTTTTTTTATTTGTCAATGATCAATTTTGTATATAAAAGGTGGATTATTAGAAAAAAAAGGGTTTAAGAACTAGTCAAGTACAGATGCCAAAAAGCCAAAAGATCAACTGGTACGGAACTATAACGTGCCCTTCATCGTTGACACAAGAGCATGTCTCAGCATAGAAGATTAACAATATAAATATATACTTCGTCTTTCAGCCCGATAAGTTAGATCTGCAAATTATATGGATTGTATAGCCCGTAACCCGATCAGATTATTTATATGATACACTATGATTTGTTCAATTAACGCCATTGACCAAAGTAATTTTCACCAAGTTTTGTCAATAATAATGAACATTAGCCAACATTGTTTTGATAAATCATATGGTGATGTAACCTACAGGGGGACATACATTAAAGGTAGTAAAGTAATTAAATGGAAGTAAATTGATGCTAATGGAATTTTATTGCTATCATAGACTCTGTATTTTAGATACTGAGGTTATGGCTGTCAATGGATATAAAAATAGATAGGATTTTCTCTGTCTGGTATTCTTCCTAACTGCTTCGTTGTCTCCATTCTTTAATTTGATTTCTACATCAAATTTCTTTTAAAACATCTCATCTACTGTTCAATGTTTTCCTGGTCATAGTCAGTTTGAAAGAACCAAAATGGAGCGCCCAATTTAAAAATTAAAAAGTCTTTAAATAAACTGGGGAAAAAAAGACAGAAATACAGGAGGAATGCAAAATGAAACTACACGTTGCACTGTTTAAAATTGAGAATGGAAACAGGAAATGTGTCAAAGAGACAAAAACCCGACCAAACAGCAGAAAACAGCTCAAAGCCACCAATGGGTCTTCTACACAGCGAGAAAATCCCGCACCCGAAGGCGGGCTTCAGCTGGCCCTTTAGCAATAACGTATACTAGTTCAGCAAAAATGGACGTCACACTAAACTCCAAAACATATAAATGAACCAAAATTAGAAAACATACAAGACTAACAAAGGCCAAATATACAAATTTCAAGTACAAAATGAAGTAAAAGATATCATTTCCATGGTGATTTTTTTTTTGTAACATAAAAAAAAAATTTGATCCCACTGTAAATATGATACTATGACTACAGTTGAACCGGACTAACATTTGGGATTACAACCGTGAGCAAAGTTTTACGACAACGAAGATAATTTTACCTTTCTTAACATTGACAGTTTTATATTTGAAAGCTTTGAAAAGTTTATTAAATGTTGTTTTCCTTTGTTAAAAAAAAGAAAGATTACTATTGTCCATTTTCACGACCTATCTGATATTCTTCTTTTATTAGTTGGTGTCAAAAATATGGTTCGTCAGTCTCGAAATGCTCATTGTGGAAAGGTACCATTTTTCCCATAAATCATGCGGACGTAAACTGAATGGACTATCAGTTCTCGATGATACCATCCGCTCGGTACTGCGT